CCAATGCTAATAATGCCACCCAGATTCACAATGTCAGAGCACCCTATGTACATCTTTGAAGACATAATGACTTAGGTTTCACAGACTTTTCTTGTTGTTTGCCCAACCAACCAATAGTATTGATTAACCTTTTTACCACCCTGCAGGAACGTGCGATCACCTTTCAAAATAAGCTCCATTGCTACTAGGCTGATAGCAGAAGGCGATATTGTCGTTGCAACCATATTCAATACATCTATAGTCTTTGCCTGATACCACCAAAACTCATCAAGTAGGCGACATTAGTCTGTTGTGAGGCACGCGTAAGTGCAGTTGAGTGCATTTTTCAAAAAAAATAATTCATGCGTTAAAGAATCGTATGAATTAATAATAAGCGATTATAATCGGCATCAATCCACAGTCATTTAATACTAGTAATATCACTATGAACCTATTGCAATACTATTAATGCCCCTTTCGAAATGTGAGGCTTCCTAAGAAGACATTAGAAGAGGTCTTTGATTCCTTCTTTAATTGATTTCCCTTTTTAATTATGCTTTATATCGTCTTATTGATTATTGAATTTCTTTCCACAATTTATTAGACCAAAGTCCGGAGAAACACGTACACTATTATCCAATAAAATCTAATTAAAGACTGAAGGGCACAAATTAATGGTAATTATTTTTTAACTGAATGGCTTTGATTAATGCAAAAGAGTTACGATCTGGCTCGCGCAGATATATAGTATCTGCTTGCACTTTTTCCACGGAAATTCATAATATTTACATCACCGAGACTGCAATGCCGAAATATTTCCACACTTTCAGCAAATATTCACATACACAAATTAACGTTGCCACAACGTACTCCCTCTCACACATTTCCAATTACATGGTTAGTGAATTATGAAAATTTTCGATCTGTTTTTTTTGGCCCACAATTAACTTATTCGTTTTCAAATTCTGAACAGAATATATACCGTTCAACTATTAGTGAATAGATTTGAATATACTTGATCCCCCTACTAGAATTCATGCAACTTGTATGAATTTCATTTTTAGTGGTGCTATATCTGCCACCAACTTTCCTCCATTCTTACGGATGGAGGTTATTTCGCTTCATTGGTAAATTATTGGCAGCTACATTTGAGCTCTTGGACCAAGTTAGTAAGGAAAGAAAAAAGCGTAAATTTGCCTCTTATGCTTAAGTTAAAGAAGAAGTAGCTATTGTATGGCGAGTTCCGATTACATTGATAGCTAAATAACTTTTCAGATGTGGAAATATAGCTTTACATTACTTTCAAAAATGGATTTGAATAAAACATTGTTAAATAAGGATTGTTAAGGTTCATAATTGATCAGTTGCCCTTTATAAAGCCACACACTTCCCAGACCATGGGGAGAATGGAGGATAGCTCTTTTAGCGCAAAACGGGGTTTTCGTCAATTAAAAAACTAAACTGCTTTTAGATGATTGGCTATCTGGATTCGAAACAACTACATCGAAGAAGTCCCAACAAGTGGTCTTCCAGTATGCAAGTGAGTGTTTGAATCCGATCCAATAAGAGATAGAGTAGTATATAAAAGGTGAATGTTGTGAGGTTCCTTCGAGAGGAGCAAACATTTTCGATTAGGCTTCCCAACACTAAAAGGGAAGGAGAATTTCACCGAAAGCCAGGGATGCCATCAACCTGCCCCAAAAACCATGTAACTACGATTATCTGATGGGAAGTTAAATAGGGTATTTACGGTGCGACGGAATAAATTTACAGTCTTTGTCCCTAATGCAAATAATTATCGATTATTGGACTTCCACATACATGAATGTGAATTTTATCTCACTGCGGCAATAACTAATGACTAATCAAGTAGGCAAGTACGTCAATTATGCTAGGCCTTATTTAAGTGGTTGGAATAATAACATAAAGAGATTTTCGTTGAGTGATAGGTCTTCTTACTTTTCCCTCGAGCCTGGATGCGTTCCTTGAACTAAGACAGTATCCAATAATTTCACTAGTAGTTGATTAGTCAAAGATATTTCTAGGTTATCATCAAGCAGAGAGATTAGACTAGAAGTTATGAAGATGAGGCAATCTGGCAAAGATAATTACACCATAAAATCTGCCATAACTCCTACCATAAAGTAAAATATCACATGCATTCATTGAAGCCTAGATTCGAAACAGGACAGAAACTCCTACATTACGTTGAGGCCATGAAGTACTGCCTAAGATACACCGATAATATTCAGGACCCATATTTCTGGCCATATGTTAAGCCTCATTGAGATACGGTGACTATAGTATGAAAGTCTTCCCCACTCCATAGGGTGCACCTTATTTGTCTACTTTACATTTTTTGGGAAATGAATCAATTTTAAAGGAAGCTCCATAGTCCGGTTATGTCCTCATGCTTAGCTCCCAATATGTAATGGGGAAAAAACATTTTACATTCTTAAATGATCACTTTAAAGTTAACTTAGCCGCTCCGATATAGAGAATAAGTCATGTAAACGTTCCAATTTCAGCAATGATTGAATGATCAATTGACAATAAGAATTATATTGTAAGAACGCTATGCCTAGAAGCCCGAATTAATAACAGCGTTTCAATATATAATTTCACAAACAATAGAATGAATATACCCTGCGCACAATGAGGAAGATGGGCGATTGGGAGAGCCACTTGTCAACACCATAAAATTAATAATTGATTATTTAAGCAGTATGCTGACGCATTTGACTTCTACTCTAATTAGCCACAGAGCATTTGGAATTGCAATGGGGTATCGCTTTTAAAAGTCACAAAAATGTGAATATAATTTTTACAGATCAAAATAAGCACAATGGCAGTAGAGAGGAGGTCAATTATATTTCCTAATTTTTTTTCACAATAATACTAGCACTCGAAAGTTGACAGAAAATGTGTGTGAATATGGAAAGTTGAGGATTTATTGACATGTGCTTGAAGCATTTGACAACCACAACACGTGTGAGCAAGTGGATTGATATGCAAAATAATGCACTCCTGATAAATAGTAAGTATATCTCAATAAAGCATTGGGAGATATGGGTTCGAGACCAGCAGATGTACATCAATTGATTTCACTGATTAATTTCATAGTTTAGTGCTGACTATTGAATTATAGATTGCTGACAATTATCTCTCAAGGCGTGGTGTGCGATAGACTTACCTCCACGTGGTGCAAATTGGGCAACGTATACTCATACGGTAAAAGAAGTCCATAAACCGGCAGTTGATTTCTGACTCCAAACTACCATGACCCTACTGCATGTCATATTCCGACACTTTCACAGTGCTCACCTTACCTTTTTTCTCTACTTTAGCGAATCACTCTTCTCTCCCCCCCCCCCTCCCAACACTCCACTTTATGTGACTTTGAAATTGTTCCCCTCTGTGAAGCCCGAAGTCAACGAAAAGGCTAATGATAGCTATCATAAAACCTGCCATTTGATATAAATAAGCATCCCAAGCCAACAGATTCCTTGGCAAGTTTTTAACCGTAAATAATTCACAATAGGAAGGTGGTTCACAAGTCAATTTTCACTCCCATCAGTATGAGGGTGCATTCTATTCTTGACATGTTGACAGCTAGAGTAGATAAAACTCCTATCCTCGGGGTAAGGGGGTGGCCATAAAGCATCAATAGCATAGGTGTTGTCAAAAATAGAAAAGTATCTTTCGTGCAGCGTTGGTGTAACACTAACATAAAGTCAGAGGTCACGACCCGAAACCTACTGGTGTCCAAGGGGTCTTCGTAATGCTGCTTTTTAACACAAGATGCGCCTAGGTTAAATACTTGGGTGGGGAGTCGTTGGTATTGTCGTAGAGATGAGGCATTAAGTGGACGTCAAATCGATTGACTTATTACCAATAAAAACATTCAGAGAGAGAGAGCAGAAATATATGCGGAATCAGTTAGGAATTTGCTACAGTCACGCCCTTTTTTGGACACCAGAACAGGGACGAGACAAATCATTACTTCAGCCCAACATAAGTCTTGTTCTTCAACAAGGAACTGGGTGGCAGAAGGGAGGGGAGGGGGGGGGGTCAATTGCAATAGAATACTACTGAGAATGGGAACTGATCTTTAGTCTAACACTCGATTATGCATAATGATTGTATTATTCCTAATTCCAAAGACCAACGACAACAACAACAAGGAGCGTTAACTACAGTCGACTTTGACAGAGCTGCATTTCTTAATAAACTAGCATTCTAGCAAGCCCTTACATTGACCAGAATTAAACGATGCGATTCGCCATTAACCTCATTGGGTGAACGCTCGTATATTGACCTCTGACTTGGCACATTGACCATCGCGTTATCGCCCCAATAAGGCTATTAAAAAGATTCCCAATTCTGACTGGAACATCATCTTTTTGAATTGAACGCTGCTCCAGCTATTAGAAATGCATAAAACGTTGTTTGTACCCGAAGGAAGCAAGTGGCGTCCCACCACCACTTAACCTTCAAAACTCTTGCAAGTATATGCATGAAAGCTTTCATCGGCTTCAAGGTAATTTGTGTAAAGTGTTTGATGGTGAAAGCAGAACTTCTTTAACAAAACCCGATATTCAATGCAAACATCTCAACCCCCTTCCCCCCCCCCCCCCCCCCCCCCCCCCCCCCACCTCACCCCACTCCACCCCACCCCATTAATAAAAATTACCTCTAGGATGTACGGAACGCAGGCGTGCAAATCACAACTTGAAGCTTACGAGGAATTAATATAGTTTAAGAAAAAATTTCCATATATATTTCACCTTCCTTTCCATCCAATAAATTAAATATTGAACATCTAACGTCAGCTTTCTTCCCGATCAAATGTTCCATTAAGATTGCATGATCATTTTTCGATCAAACTGACCAAGTATAAGCCATCCTGAGGAAAGAGGTTTCTCATGGCTCTCTTATTACGAAATAAACAAGCCACAAACTGCCATTTCGATCGAAATTGGTTATCAAATGCGTGAGCTCCAAATTAAAAAATTTACCCACTACGCTGCCAGCAAATAAAAACTAATGAATAATTTCATTTTTTTGTAAAGTTTAGCCTCACCTCTTACGCTTTTTCGAGCAGCGTAAAGTGCTTGCTTAGATTCCGGCTGGGAATTATTTTTAATCCGCCTTGATGCTTCCTCACACTCATCGTCAAGTTGGAGATCCCTATGTCTGGGGGGCTCCTCTCTCCCTAATGAAACTGATCGAGCGAGAGCGACTGAGCTGATCATGGGAGACATGAGTTTGGTGAGCAGGTCCCGACAACCCTCATTACATGGCAGAGGGCTATGACAACGCTGATCATCCTCATCACCATCATCATAATCAAAAGCCTCTCCCTCCAAACTGTGGTTGTCATAGTGATGACCTTGCGGGCTACAACCGTGCGCGTCGAGGGAGACCGAACGCCGAAGGGCATGATCTAAATGGTCCCGTCGAAGCTCCATTCGGGAGATACGCTCTGGAGGATGGTATTGATCCATAAATTACTAGAATAAATAAATAAATAAATAGATTGAAAGTACGCTAAAGGAATCAAAGAACAGGCGGTAATGAAGATTACTTCGAAACGCCGATTTAATCAAGCCAAAAAGTAATAAAACTTAGGCAACCGTACATCATAAAAAGTCCTCTTTGAAGGCCAAAATGCTAATTTAGGCACAAAATTCCAATTTTTACGATTATACTTTCCTTATTTAGTTGCCCTTCCTTCTATAATACTTGATTAAGATAAAATGGGGGATTTTTTCTTCAATTACTTATTATTAAAAGGGAGGTAAATCCATCGATATTTTTTTAGATTTGCTTACGAATAACGTCCATCGATTTACACTTGAACCAGTTAAAATTCTTGTTTAATTCAAGATTTTGGCCGAAATTGTATATATTTTTTCGCTTTTTTTCATTAGCCAAAACAACCTGCAATATATATGTTCTTCTTCGACTATATATATTACAGGAAGTTAAGTGTCTCAAAACGCTGAATTATTATCCTATTTTTCTATGATCAAAGGAGAATTTCATAAATTGAGAGGAATTGTTAAGGAGATTAGCAAAAGGTCTGTTACAACACTATGAATTTCACATTAAGTAAGGAGAATGGATACGGTTTTTTTCATCTTCAGGATTGCTATATGACAAAGTGAAAAGGAACAACATCTTCATTGTCCGTTGACCGTTGAAAAGGCCTCTACAAATCTATTAGATTAGGAACCCCGAACAAGGCATTTAAAAGGGGGCAATAAATTGGGAACCCACGGGCACGTAAATGCTTATAAAAACCCTTATCTTTTAGCGTAAACAATCAAAATGTACAATTTCTTTCCAGGACATTTAGGTAACCTTTAGCCTGCGTATTAAAACAATTCAAACAGGGTAGGTAAAAAGTTAAAATCGAATGCTTAATTTGATCGGCCTATAATAGATAGTTTGTAATATAAAATTTAATTGAATACCAGTAACTACTAGAATTTAAAGAAAGGGCACAGCAATAGATGGCCATATCGAGGACTAACTAGGAAAACGCGTTCGTAAGTAGGATAAATTAAAACAAAAATTCGTTGCTAGACACTAATTGTAGGGTTTAAATGAGCGCCATAAAAATTAAGAATATATAAAATTGATTATTTCACTTTGTTTAATTGTATTGAATAACTTAAAGAAAAAGAAATGATTAAATTAAATAGAATCCTGACAATATATACTACCTACTAGATCAATGGCAAATCCAAAAGAAAAGTTAATTCAAATTTATGCTAAGAGATTCAAGGCTGTTGATCCTTACATACATAGTTAGAAAATCTATGCTACCTAAGGTATTCTTCACCGTTAGGGGACAGGCGTGCATCGATGTGTCTAATTAATCGGCTAGCCAATAGGAGTGGAGCGTTTTAGTAACTAACTTAACAATTCACTTTATGTAAAATGCGGAAACTAAGACGAATAATGAATTTAAATGGCGTAAGACCTGTCTTGATACCCAGATTTTACTGTCTGTAGCTGCTAGGCATCACACCACTGCGACATTGATAAAGTGGAATGGAACTTGTATTGAGCCGCTAAACATATGTGCGATAGACTTACCTCCATGTGGTGCACCCTGGGCAACGCATACTCATACTGCAAAAAGTCTATTGACCGGCAGTTGACTTCTGACTTCAAACTCCACTGTATCTCATATTCGACTACTTCCACAGTACTCATTTTACCTTTTCTCTACCTTCGTATCTGGCTGTCTCTTTTACATCTGTGAATCACTATTCTGTCCCCCTCTCAACTTATTGTCACTTTGATGTTCCTTCCCCTCTGTGGAGCCTGAAGTCCACTAAAGGGCTAATGATAACTATTAAAATGCTTGCCATTTGAAATAAATAAATATGATCCGAGACGAAGTAGTTCCTCTTCAGGAACTGTCCAATTAGTACCCAAAATTTAGTCAAAATTAGAAGACTGTGTGATGACAGAATACATCAAATATAGAATGTGAAGCCAGTAAGGTGATATTTGTTGTCCAATCATTTCACCGTCAATTAATGAGATTAACATTGATTTCCCAGTGGCTGCATCCTTTACCGTAATGTAGAAAGAATAAAAAAAACAACACTTTTGGATAAATTTCCTATTTTTTAAACATATCTACATACAAATGGAGTTCAAAAAAAAGAAATGAAATACCAAAATTTTAAACACTTGGCCAAACAAATAGCACTTATCTACAATAACTTCCATGATGAAATTAGGCATTATACATTAAATTACAAAGTTAAATTTTGATGTGATATTTTCCTCCAATCGAACGATTTCAGTGGTTACTCTAAATTATATGGAATTTCGAATCTTCAGGGTGGCACTGTGAGGTCGTAGAAAACAAAGTACTACGAAATATAGCTCCGAATAAGTCGTTATTCAATAGGTATAGATACTGCAGAGAGGAAGGTGAAGAAACCCGTTTTAAAGCCATTTAAGTTCTAGCAAGCCGAAATGTATAACTGCCGTCCACAGCTATGATATCAAATCCGGGATGTGCGATAGACTTACCTCCACGTGGTGCACCCTGGGCAACGTATACACATACGGCAAAAAAGTCTATTAACAGGCAGTTGACTTTTCACTTCAAACTACCACCACCCCCACTGCATGTCATATTCGACTACTTCCACAGTACTCACCACACCTTTTTCTCTACCTTTATGTCTGCCTGTCTCTTTTACATCTTTAAAACACTCATCTGTTCCCCCCCCCCCACTCTCGACTTTTTTCGATTTGATGTTCCTCTCCCTCTGTGAAACCTGAAGTCAACTAAAGGGCTAATGATAACCATCAAAACGCCTGCCAATTGATATAATAATAAAAATGATCATCAAAACGCCTACCATTTGAAATAAATAAATATATATATATATATTTTGAAATAAATAAATGTTATGGCATTGAGTGACTCAACTAAAGGGCTAATGATAACCATCAAAACGCCTGCCAATTGATATAATAATAAGTATTATGTCATTTGGTATAAATAAATGATATCAAATCCAGTGCGAGTCACCTCAAAAGACTGCATAAGAGAGTACAAAGTAAATAGCAATTCCAAGGCCAAGCCTTCGTACACACCCGTAGCAATATGATCGCTTCTCTGGTAAACATAATTAATAGCAAATTGCATAATAAAAGGCTGCAGTGATTTCCAATACATTTTTAAGCGTCATAGTCTAGTGAAAATGGCTAAACTTTGACTGCTAACCCAATGAAAAGTGCTCAAATTGGAGTGCAATCGCCCAATCTACAAAAGTAGACAATGAATGACAGAACGTGTGGAGTTGTTTTTAAGACTTGAAGTGATCACTACAAAGTACACATTGACTTTATTAAACCCTCTCCTGTTTATCGAAATCAAATCTCCTAATGATTAAAAAAGAGGGGGGAGGGGGGGAGAGGGGAGAGAGATTTCTGGACTAGAAGTCTATTTATTCCTTAAGCCACCAAGCCCTATTGGATCGTTAATAAATAAACAAATGGAAAAGAAACGGAGGCGAGCGAAAAATTGCGAACAAAAATGTAAATGCAAAGATTTGGCATAACCCTCGATTGGCTTCGACAAAAAGGATCGATAGAAATGCCATAAGAGCTACATTTTGCAAGCAGGACAGCCCTTAAATGGGGACAAAAAAAATTAATGCATTAATTAACTTACAAATCTTTGTGCACTCAGACAGTTCCCTTAGAACTGACAGTTTCATTTCTAACACAGCTGCTGCTTAAACCAACCATTTAATTTACAAAATTGTGGTTAAATCCCACTTTTGCCCGTGTAACACATTAATTTGCCCACAAAAAAACCATAACTTACTTACGATATTTCTCCCTATCGATATGTCTCGATCACTCCCATTTCAACTTTCGCATTCACCTCCTTCTGCCTCATATCCGTTTTCTCAGTTTCACTTCATCGGACAGAAGTTGTTTGTTTATGCTAAAGACATGAATCCAACTCTCTCTCTCCCTCTCTCTTCAATCCATCTATACCCACTGTTAATGCTGACTTGACATTTTCTAACAAGAGATAGTCAGAACAATTAATTGCAATTAGTTTACAAATCAAGGTGTCCTATTAAACAGCTTGCAGTGGCCTTGCAGCATACAAAGTGTAAATTAGCCGGTTTTCCAATGGTAGCGCGCACCAACGTCAAAGTCAGTGATCACGAGATGCACGCTCATGTGAATGTCAAACCGCCCTAGTCACTAAGAGTGGTGGCAGAATCCAATTTTTGTCGTAGGGGGCGAACTTTTCCATTCAAATCAAGTGCAGTTAGTAATTTTAGTGCGATAGAGGAGTTGCCTCCCGTTACTAATTGATTGCTCCGGCATTTGGTCGTCCATCGCCCCCTCCTCCTTCTATGCACCCAAAGTTTCGTACCTAGCTGTAGGCCAAGTTTACTTCTAAAATACTTAATTATACAGTGGTCTCTGTCCCCTTTCTACGCTATTTGTGATGAAGAAAAGAAAATACTCAAAGCTCTAGCACCTTCTCAATAAACAGACCAATATCCACCAAAATAGCCCTATTAGAAGCGAGTATTGATTCTGTTGGGTCTGTTCTGCTCATATTTCCACCTGTAAATCATTTGTATTGATTGCTCATCAGACAATCTAGGAACACACAACAGTCAGCTGCTCTTTGCTTACTATACTTTGGTCTTCTTCCAACCACAATCCCATCACTACATTGTTCTTCTCCCAAGTCCTCTAAGGAGAAATTACTTAATCTACATAGTAGTGTATACACTGATTGAATATAGTGTGCGAGTTTAACTAATTCCACCTATAAGGAAAGATTCCGTGAAACTAGAATAAGGTGCCCTTCTGCCAAAATAGGAGATCTAGGTATCAAAAGAGCTCAAGAAAAAAGGAGAAATTCCATGACACTGGTGCGTTTCACAAAACAAAGAAGAAGATTAAGCTGAGAGCATTTCGAATCGATTTTGGTAAAAAAACGAAAAACTGGACCATTCGAGGGGGAAGAAGAACATAAGAGGAGAAAAAATTTCTTAGAGTAAGGTAAAAATCCAAATATACAGCCTAGGTTTCGATATTCAACGAGCTACCAATCAATACACTGCCTGTGACTATTCCACTGGACATCATCATTTCATATCAGAAGATCAATAAAAAAGGTACTGAGGGATGCTCTACGCTCCGCCCGATTCAAACATTTGAAAAAAGTGTTACTAGAATTGGCGCGTGGAAATTATTGCCAGCAAATGAAGTATTAGAATAAAGAGAAATAAATTGATTTGAGGATTAACGTGGGTAGTGTCAATAGCGTAAACCCTTAATTACACGCTTGCCAAATTTCCCATTAGTCGGAAATAAACCAATCAAGTGAGAGCAATAAAACTGTTATTGTGTTTATATTCCGTGTAACTAGTACTTCAAAAATACTTTCACTCAAATGACTACTACCATTCATTTAATTTTCCACCGAGAACGTAGTTAATTTATCGAAAGGTCTGAGGAAAAATGAAAAATTAATTTGTAACCTTAAAACATCCAAGAAGAATTTTAATAACAAAGTAGCAGAAACGAGACGCTAAAAGCTTCCAATGAAAGCCATTATCAAGGTCATGGCAGCGTTAGGAGCCCGCCTATTAGTTAAGCAAAAAAGGAAGTGATTAGTCATCACATGCAAGTAATTCAGACATAAAGAACACAAAAAATGTAAGACTTTCGCTTTAAATGAGTGGAGGAGAAAATAATCTTTGTTCTCGACGTAAATTCGCGACAAATATGCGCAATTTAAAATCGATATGTGGGAAATGGTAGAGGTGTGAAATGAAAGAATTGGTTTTTTTTCTGTTCAAATGATAATATCTACGCAAATGGAACACCTGATTTGCATAAGAGTCGTAAAGTTATGGGGAAAATCCAAACAGGTTTTAATAGAGGGAATGAAATTTAAGTTCACATTTTTATGGAAAGTTAAAAGTAGCTCCATCACCTTGAAAACTTGTAGCACCAATGAGTCCGAAGATGGCCTCAGTACATTATTTATAATACAAGAGCCTATAGAGAACTGTCGAATTTTGATTGGATAAGCACTTCATTATCATTGTTATTGGCTTATTATTATAGGTCAATAAAGCTATTTGAAATTTGGAAAAATGGAAGTTGAAACATTACTTTTATAAAAAATCATAAATAAAACACGTAGTGAATGGGAATGATACTGACTTTTCAACTAAAATAGGAAACAGGTCCCATGAAATTTTCTGCCATTATGAGAAATTTCAACTGATGGGCTTCCAAACCATAAAAAAATATTAATAGAAATCTACCAAATGGCATTAAGAGCACAGATTTAACCACGTCCTTTAATAAGTCTTAAAAATTATTTAGAGTATTTACAAAAAACTACTTTCTCTGACAAGTATTCAAATGCCAGTTTTTTTCGACATTATGTTATTTACAAAATGGGGAAACGGTGACCCCTGATATTACAGACGACCATATTAACAGTTATACAAAAATTCAAAGTCAAAAAATATTGATTTCACGTAGAGCTAGGCAACCACTTGTAATTGGATTAATTAAATATTAGCTGCAAATCATAAAATAGAACATGGAGAAAATGGGCGATTTTAAATTCGCAAAGAGCATCACTCCGAATACAAACTCCGCTCAAGGGGAAGTCTGTTAAAAGTAAGGTCTTAGTAATTTTACTGTAACGATGAGGCATGAGTCATTCGCAAGCAGGATGCGCAGAAGCAACATTGAAGATAAAGGAAAATGCAGTAATTAGACAAGTGTATGGGAAATTCAAAACGTTCGTGCACTATCACGGACGCACGGCGTGTCGGCTAGGGATGAATTACCCATCCACAAGTAATAACAGAAGTTATCAGAGATTAAGACAGGGTAGACAGTTGACAGTAAAATTATTAAAAATGAAATATATAAAGGTTGACAACAATAAGAGATCGGATATCAATTGAGAGAATTTAACATAGGAAACACCTAACATGACGACTTAAATCTGTTACAATGATTTAAATTGGCACTTAAGCGATCAAGAAAATATAGATTTCACAAGGATGGTCCGCATAAAATGGTGCAGTATATCAAATCAACACCGTATATAAACACAATTAAATTTATATTAATTACAGTATGAGACAACCTTAGATAGTAATAAATGCTAGGAATACAAGAAAGAAGAGATTTACATGAATATTAAAAAAAGGAAAACAGTGTTTTCCTCTAAACGTAAAATATAACATTTTAATATAGCTAAGAATTTAACCCTTCATAATTCATTTCAAATTGCCAAAAAAAGAAACCGTTAAATAAAACCATAGCGAAATTTTGGGAAAGGCGATCTAAGGCTGGAAACGTGACAAACATTCAAAAATATCTCTTTATAATGCTTATTGGTTGTTAAAATGTGTAAAATAATTCTTATATAACAACGAATCAGCAAAAAGTAATTCGAATTAATTTGTTTCGAAACACAGAGACTACGTACCAGAGTCAAACTATCCAGATATCTAGTTTCAAACGAAGCGCATTGTTGCTTCAAGGTTAGGGAATCAAAGTATAAATAGTTTTTTTGCTCCGAAAATAGGTAACATTGGAAAATTAATTTTAAAATTATTTAAAATTTTTTATGAATGCTTTTGCAAGAATTTTGTTAAAAGTTAACAATTGATTACCAAAGGGTCAACAATAATTACCTTCCATTAAACGCGCCAAGAAGGATTACATATGCCAGCGATATTGTAGCAATTTGTAATTGAGGATTGTCCGTACAATGTTTCTTTTAACATTGCAAATATGTGCACTCTTTTTATTAGTTGCAGCAAATGAGTGTGAGAAAAATTTTGATATAAAACTTAATGCAGTTATTCTCACACATGATTCTGATAAATATGGGTCAACATTTCTTCATAAATTATCAGCTGACTCCTTGGAGGAATGTGTAAAATACTGCTGCGATTATACTGAGTGTTCGGTTGGCGTTTTTGGAGCAAGAGTATGGTTTTTTCTTTTATAAATTAATTCTTACATTTTATTTTAATTAGAACCGTGGTAGCTGTTTTCTTTTTAACTGTCATGAATCCAACGCATGCAATTTTACTACTAAAATGGGTTATACAGTATTCATTGAGCGAGACACGAAGTCGTTCTCTCCAAATATTCACAAAGTTGAGACATTTGCTGCGGGTAAGCCTTTGTTTTATATTATCATTTGTTTAATTTCTGGACCTGTCTATTAATACTTATCTGAATTATTAAATATATAGGAGCCCTTCGTGGTATGTGTAGTCCTCGCAATCCTTGTGTTGGTGAAAACACAATCTGTGATTCTGGACAATGCGTTTGCAAAGCTGGCTTCATTGAAAAACGGCACAAGTGTGGTAGGCCATATATAATTTCCATCACCAAATACCTCCTTAGTTCCATCTCTTTGCAGTAAACCTGATTTGCAGTTCCAATGTGATGATGGAACAGCTTGTATTGCAATTTACAATGTCTGTAACGGAATTTCTGAATGCCGAGATGGTTCGGACGAAAACTTTTGTGATAAATCTGCAATCCTCTCTCCGTCGATTTCAATGAAACCAGCGTTTACGAAGCCACAAGAAGCTGAGTCAAAATCGAGTGCAGCTCTCCGCAATGTTGTCTCATCGCCTTCAAGGAATCGTTTTCCTGTGGCTTCACGGCTACTTTATCATTCCAGGCTTGATGGCGATTCTCCGGAGACGGTTTTCGACTCTTCCTTGAAAGGGCTCCCTAGTAAAACATTTCAAATAATCCGTAATCTGCCATCGAGACGATCTTATGATGATAGAAGAGAATATCCGTCCTCTGACTATTACTCAACCATTGGACCGGATGAACCAACGCTAATAGTTTCAGAACCTCGGCGAAAGTCGTTTCTATCTGATGAAGCTTTGGATTCTTTTATAGACCGTCCACCAAGTCATCTTCGAACTCACGTTAGTTATACGCATCCGAATTTTCTTGAGGAACCCCAATATCCAGTGGAGGAATTGGACTTTGATCTAAGTCATAGAAAGAATGGCCGACTTCCAGGAAGTTCATATCTTGAAGCCTTTCAAGAATTAAACCCCGAAGAAGAGGCTGAAGAAATTCCGCATCTTCGAAAGACTGGCTTTGTAAACCATCGAGGATTCTTGAGACGCAAGCCAATACGTCATCAAAAGCATTCATTGGGTGAGTATTTTTTATTGATTTATGAAACAGATACCCTCTTAAATAAATAACTTTTTGAATTTAGTAAATGGGCATTTACTTACCTATGTAATAAAGTGGCATGACTTGCATCTGAGGTGGTTTTTTTAGTACTTTACCAAGTTAGTGTCTGAAATCATTTCTTTACATTTCAACGGAGAATTATTCAAGGGTTCATATTAAAAAAGCGCTAAAACATGAATTTATTTCTTACTTACTTCAAATTTCAAAAAATAAGAAGTCGGGAGATTTACAATTTTGTCTTTGGTTGAATCAATTTATCTCCTCTTAGCTAAACATTGGAAGTTTCGTCAAAGCTTTGTTTTTGAAGTTGGAATGCTTATTGCTGTCTATGTTACTCACAAAGTAAATGTGCAATTTGCAATCATTGAAAAACTGGTTGAATCCGTAATAGAGTGAAATGGTTCAATAGGAAATGATAGGGTGTGAAACAAATAAAATATATATGGCTATCATGGAAGTTTGGCTTCTGAGGTGTATTTTGCTTATTGTATTTTTCCGCATATGTTTCAGTGCTTATCGTCTCAGGTTTTGAATTTCAAGAATTGGCACCTGAATGTCAGTGATTTTCGGGCTTCATTAATCAGGCTATTCACCGGTTTAGTCAGTCAAGTTAATTCAATACATTAAAAATAATGCTAGAATTACTTAGACTTGCTAGAATTTATTAAATTTAGTTGAATTCATTCTTACTGGGGCAATTATTTTAAAACCGACCTTATTTTTGTTCTTCAGAAAACACTTTATTTAATTCTTTTCATGAAGAAGTGAAACTATTCTTCCTTGTTAACGTTTTACTCATCTAGCTTATACTTCGAAGTGATGTAAATTGCACCTATTTTAACACTTACATATAAAGTTTCCTACACATGAGAATTCTCGTGGAACGCTAATTTTTATGCTGAGCGCTTTTTGTTCCATTCATTTCTGATGAGCAAATTTATGTTTTTTAAAGAAAGTGATATTTTTTGATTCTAGAAAGATTAAGCTGGCAATTTATGTGCTAGTATTTATAAGATTTGAATGCCTGTTCCGAGAATAACCCCTACCATCACGGTAATTTCCTGCTGTCACCAAGTTTCGACTTTTTTTGTCTATTTTAACAAGCAATTTAAATTATTCTGGTTTCTGTTCACCTGACTGTGAGCTGCCACAGTAATGTCTCTCTCTCTCAGATCGAATGAAAATAGTTATCATGATTTCATACAACTGTGATTTACTTGAAAAGTTTAGGATGCTGATCAACGGCATTCATCCCTACTGTTTCCTATTAAACATATTATTGATGGGTCTTAGCACATATCCTCTCCGTGACTTCCTCAAGCTCTACCAGAAATGTAAATTAATCTTATCATTTCCTTTTCAGGAAATCAAAATTTAATTTATTATTTTGCTTAACAACACTTAAACTTGACTTTTTCGCTAACCAGCAAGAGTTGCCCTCTATTGCTACTTCTAAATTGGCATGTCAGTTGACGCAAGTTATATCTAATTAGCACTCATATATCCCACTTAAGGGTGTTTAAAACTCCCTATTATCATCTTGGTAAATGCTAATTGGCTATTCTTGAGTCGTAGTTATACGAAACTCCTTTTCTACCGCCCCTCTTATTTTCCTCAATCAATCTATTCGGTTGATCGTCCAAATGACTAGATGTGCTCCTTTGAGGGTTGATCTTTCGATTATTATTATTATTATATCAAATGCCAGGCGTCTTGATGGTTATCATTAGCCCTTTAGTTGACTTCGGGCTTCATAGAGAGGAAGGTACATCAAATTGAAAAAAGTCGAGTGGGGAGGGGGAACAGAAGAGTGTTTCAAAGATGTAAAAGAGACAGACAAAAAGGTTGGGAAAAAGGTGAGGTGAGTACTATGGATATAGTCGAATATGGCATAGAGTGAGGTGATGGTAGTTTGAAGTGAGAAGTCAACTGACTGTAAATAGACTTTTTTGCCGTATGTGTATACGTTGCCCAGGGTGTACCACGTGGAGGTAAGTCTATCGCACACCCCATATATTTAGACGATGCCTTTGTATAAGGAGATCGTGATGGTAAAAATAG